AATACCAAGTACCGGGAAGAAAGCGACGGACGTCCTTGAGTTGTCCACGGCCGGGGTGGTTGTTAATGGCAAGACGCACGCAATTCGGGATAATGAAATGTCGCCGAGATTCCGCACGGACACCAATGGCAGAACAGACACATAATGGGTGACATACTTATTCCTGTGGTATGGAGGGTTTCTGATGGATCATACTTTACAAGAACAAGTGCTGAATAGACCTGATCTACCACAAAATACAGAAGACTAGAAGCTACACTAACATGTCGGCACAGCTACGCGATATACAGAAGTACTAATTCATTCAAGCTGTTCCTTCTCCTCAGAAGCAATCAATCGAAGAATTAGAAAGATCCACAGAAACTTAGGATACGAGAAAAATAAAGGTGGCAGACACTATTTGATAAACAACACAACAAAAAGCTTTATTGAATCCACTTGGTCGTAGACAGATTCCCCCAGTAGAACAGAAAATAAACAGAAAAATAAGATTTTATATATCGCGTGAGAACGCCCTTGTAACCTTAGAATGATTTTTAACGCCTTGTCAAATGTTTTAATTTTTGTTTGCTCCTGACGAGGACAAAAGATTTTTGTCGAAACGTCGAGGTAATAAAAATATTTACTGGCCGAAGTATCTTTATTTTCAAGAACTATGAATGCCCGCCAGGCAGCCTCTATCTTTACGAGAAAAATAAGAGTAATAGTAACAATAATCAGCAATGTTATTTACAATGTTTCAAATAGGGGCAACGCATCCTATCAAGCACACATCCAATCGAGAGGAATATACAAAAATGTATTATATATAATTATCGGTCAGATTTATCGTTTCATAGATAAATGGATCAATGGTAGAGGATTGTCTAAATACGGAATATGAAGTTTTATATGAACAATTATATTATGATGCATTAACGCGCCATCTGTTATGAAAATTCGAAACTATTATAGACGTGTATATCGTAATATATCCTGTCGACTTTCAATATATAGCTGTGGTAATATGCTATGCTGGGAAACCTTACTCTTGAGATTGAAGATTGTTGAAGTGATGGCGCAGTCGTGATGGCTGAGTAAGAAAGGATTACACACAAGGGAAATAAGCCAGGACACTTGATGGGTTTTGAAATAAAAGGCAACTGGTTTGGAGGGAAAGAAAAGCTTAGAGAGAAGGCGGAGCGGGTTTTGACTTATTAATTATCTGATCACATGGCGGTGATTGACTTAGCTATGAGCTGAGCGGGGAGGTCTCGAGAGCAGATGTTACCTCGTTGGGAGCGAAGGAGCAACTAACTATCTTCGGTTCTCGATTTAACACCAAGACTTATCTTCTTTCCCATTGGTCGAAAGATGTCACATGACCGTTTTCTATTGGTTGACCTATTTAGGTATTGTTTCCTAATTGGTGGGACTATGTCACGTGGCCGTTGGCTATTGGTTGACCTACTTAGGTAATTGTTTCCTAATTGGGCCTTGCGGCTTTCTTTGGCGGAAGATACGACCGGCCTCGCCCAGGAAATATTGGGCGTTAAACTTAGCTTTTAGGATTTCCGGGGTCAGAAGGTTAACTGTGACTTTATTAATAGTTTTCTTCTCTTTTAAGCCTACTTCCTAGGTTTTTCTCTAAGGCGTTCTATCCTCCAGTTACCTTTGTTCTTTTATTAAGTCTTTTTAAAACATACATTGTACATACATAGTAGGTCGGAGGTGCATACAGTTATATACAAATTATGACATGTATGATTCTTTTACCAATTAAACAATTTTAATTGCCCTTACATTGCAGTAAGGGCAGTAGAAATTGTTTAATTGGTAAAAGAACCTTACGCGTCTAAAATAGTTTCTAATTTTCAGTTGGGAAATATAAGGATTATAGCACACCGCGCGAGAAACTAAACACATTAATATTGCGAAATCCTAAAGAGATTTCTGTTTAGATATTTCGCAAGTGTTGTCCTTAGGGGCTAAATATCTTCATGTGTGAAACACTAAATCTTTCGACATCGCTGAATGCAGTCCGACACCATCCAACCATCACGTTCTGACATCTCCAGAAGAGTCTTTTTCGAACAGTCCTATCTAGTTATATTAGGAAATAATATTGCCACGTGGAAAATTAGGGAAGACAAACTTCAGGATGACACAGCAATTTATTCAAGGCAAGAACCAACTATATGAATAATAAACAAAAAATAAGCAATGAGGGAGGTTAACAGAGTAGCAACATATAAACATAAAAAATGATACTCTGTTAATAAAATAATAAATACTTTGCTACATAGCTCCTTCCCTATGGGAGTTGTGACCCACAGCTTGCAATTATTGTAGTTACTGACATGGATATGACGTGCTTCTGCCAAGGATTCTATCGAAGCCTTGGAATTTTGTCATTAGTACAGTTGCGGCGTGAAGAGCGGCTTTGTCGTCGTATCGTCTATAGGGACAATCGTCATATTGGAGGAAAGTCTTGGCTTTGACACTGCGGATGGAATCCTGGAGCCAGTTCTGAAAATTGTAGATCACAGCACCCATGGCTTCAAGGTCTTCTCGGCGATCTTCAGTTTGTCTCCCTAATTTACCCAGCATCTCCACCAAAATTCCACGTGGAAAATTAGGGAAGACAAAATTCAGGATGAGACAACAATTTATTTAAGGCAAGAACAAACTACGAATAGTAAACCTAAGATAAGCAAAGAGGGAAGTTTACAGATTAGCAAAATATAAGCCTAAAAATGATTCCTTGTTAATAAAATAATAAATACTTTGTTTCAATATTTTTATTTGAAAAATGTTATCTTATATATATTTAAAAATGTAAAGTTTAATACGCTGGTTTCTTGAAAACAAAAAAGTGCAAAGGTGCTGAGTGTTATCTATGTACATGTCTACATAGGTATAAGACTTCCTTCCGTCAAAGTACAAGGGCACAGCACAATCGTCCCAAGAATCTATTCATAGCCTGGGGATGAGAAATCCCACATCGCTATTGTAGTGAAGTATGTCCTCTTCCTTTGTAATGTAAATCTTTTTACAGCCTCGCTAACTTCATATTGTCGATAAACCTTGAGTTACAAATTTGTTGGTAGATTCTTAGAGAAGTAAGTTTAGAATTGATCTGCTAAAAGCTGATTGGATCTATAAAATGAGGCATTCAATTGTCCCTCATTCCGATGGATTCTGGTAGCCAACATGGAATTTTGGTCGTAAGAAGTATACCTTCACCACGCTGACGAGGGCCAACAGCCCGAAACGCGTTCGTGCTGTCTTTTTTTTTTTTTTTTGATTGATCAAGAAAATTGGTTGTCCAAATATCAGGGAAAAGGCTAAACCAACGTTTAGTTAATTTCTGTTCCACTAAATGGCGCTAAAAGAGCTCATGTGCTCGTGGTCATAATATGTCTTATTTGATTTTGACATACATTGTTTGTGGGAAGAGCATTGTTCGATGCAAATATTTATATGTAATTCTCCTGTCCTATAAGCTAATGTTCATAGTTTTCTTGAAACCCCTTTCTGAAATTCTACCCTTCAGTGATGTGTATATAAGCAGAATGATCCAATACAGTATTAGAGCTCTAAGAAGCGGTCTGGTGGATTAAATTGGCGAAACCACTGGGAGGGTTCACCATTGATGAGCCAAGCCCTCCCAATATATTTTTCATCGCAGGAAGGACAGTAGAAGTTTGTATTGTGTATAAAAGAAACATTCGTGCTTTTTAATCCTTCCATTTTATATACATTTACGTAACTTAAAAAAAAAAAAACAGTTTTTCTCTAGTCTAACAACAATGAAAGTGGAGACATTTGAACAATTGGATTCAAGGCATGCATTAAAACATCACATTTAGAATGTATATCCGCTACACACCTACCTTGATAAATAGTACTCCATTGGAAATAAATAGCTGTGGTTGTACACATGCTAATCACAGACCACCACCTAGAAATTGAAAAGGACATTTTGGTGCTGCATTTTTTACATTTCATTAAAAAAAAAAAAGAAAAGCTGCCATCTCCGTTAACGTCGGCACAAATATATTCGCTATCTTAATTATAAAGACAATTTTAGACAATTAAAATAATTTTATTGACATCTTGTCAATACATGCAAAGTGCCCAGTCTGTACTATTTTAAAAAGATAAATATATATATATATACATGATACTATGTACAATGAATATGGCGCCTCTGCCACCGCTGCAGAGTTTGGTGGAGAATTGCCAGTGGGTCTCCAGCGACACCTTAATTATAAGACATATAATTATAGACACCTATATTTAAGAAATAAAACTATTAAGTGCTAATGTTTCTTTTTACAAACAAAATGTATACTTATGAAAAAGGCATCTCCATCGCCATCAATTTTTCACAAAATGTATACTGTTCTTACTTTAATGAGAAATTTCTTATATAGAGATGGCGCGATATTGACTTATAATTAATTTAGGCCTTACTGACATTATCTTTGTAAAAGAGTATTGCTCGATGAAAATATTTTGAAGTAATTCTATTGTTTTAAAAGCTTATGTGTAGAGTTTGCTTGTATACTATAACTAAGATTCCATCCTTCAGTGTATAATATATAAGCAAAATCGTACGAAGCAGCATTAGAGCTTTGAGAAGCGGTGGATTGAATTAGTGAAACTCTGGAACGGTTCACAACTGATGAGCCAAGCCCTCCCACTATTTTTCATTGTAGTAAGGAGAGTAGAATGTTTATATTCAGGTGTAAAAGAAACATATGTGCTTAATGGCCGCATTTATATATATACTCGTTATCTATTGTAAAACCTTTGTGATCTAGCAGAATCGGACCAGGTCAATAACATCATATTCGGGATATTCAAAGCGTGAGTTTAGACCACGGTTTCTGGCCATGGGCCTCTTTAGTCCATATAGGATCATTAGAATCCCAATTTAATAATTTATCTTTCATTTAAATTTAAGTAGACATATTCTATAATATTATAATACGAATTACGAATGAAAAAATATGTCCAGGGTAGCCTAGTGGTCATGGCATCTGTCCGGTAAGCGGAACACTGTGGGTTCGATTCCCATCCCTGGACACTTTTATTTTTCTGTTCATCATTACTCTCCACAATTCATCCTTTAATACTTCATCCCTAAGGATAAGAATAGTCGATATTTCTCCTTAAAGAATTAAAATTACGATTTTTCATTCTGTAAAAAGAAACATTTGCGGTAAAACTTGTTAAACATCGTTCTATAATCATAGCCGCATTATAATGTAATTTGAATTAACTTTATAATGTATTATGTACATATTCTATATAAATTTAAAAGCAGAAAGCTGAGAACACTAGTTGATTCAATCAAGTTGCTAATCATACTCAACGAGCAATTCTTGCTGATTCACCAGGAATGTTGAAATTGGTGTCGAAAAAACTAAATATTCTCAGAAGGAAGGCATTCCTGTCAAAAAGGATATTCTTAAAAACTGAATTGATATTCTCTGCGCATATGGCGCCGATTCAGATCGATGTAGCTGCCTCACCCCAGCTTCAACATGGGGTCAGCCTCGGGTCTATGACCTTGGTCTGGAGAACAGATTTCGGGTTATGTTGACCATTATCCATTTGTGGAATTATGGACAATTAATATCTGTCCGTTGGCACATAGACTGACAATTTTTGACAATTAAAACAAATTTATTGACAACTCAGCCAATATTTACAAAATGAGGAAGAAATCACAAAAAAAAGAAAAATAAAAAGATAGCGAAAAGCTTGTTCCAACCAGGGACATCAGGTTCTAAAGTCTAAATAATTAGCAGCTAGGCTATTTTGCATTATTATATAATAATTTAAAGAAGAATTAATATTTACAAATTTAAATTTTCAGCCGGGGAGTCTTCCCCACCGTTCAAGTGTCCTCTTCCAGGCGATGAGGGGATCCTCAATTCCACCACCTAGCCCCACCTGCACGAAGTACCAATAAATTCGGCACTTCGCTGACGCAAGGATGGCCATTTCGTCGTCCTCCTGCCCAGTCCCGAAGATCCATTCTGAAGATAGCACATCATACTACATTTTCTAACAAATGTATTATGATAATAACGAATAGATTCAAAAATGATAAATTTCTTTATTTGAAAAATCAATTCGAGCTTTCGGGCGCAAGCTGCCCTTCTACAGGAATAATGGATACAATTTCAAGTAGTCATGTATGTACATGTCATAATTTGTATATAATTAAATGCAACCCCGACCCACTATGTATGTACCATGTATGATTTTCAAAGATTTAATAAAAGAATAAGGTAACTGGAGGAAAGAAAGTAACAAAAGACATAGAAAGTAGATCTAGAGGAGAGCATATTTATTAATAACGACGCAGTTAACCTTCTGACCCCAGGTCCCTGCGAGCTAAGTTTAAACTAACACTTCCTGGAAAAACAGGACGTATCTAGTGACCAGAAGTTATAAATGTTAAAGCTAACACCCAATATTTCCGGCAAAGACAGGACGTATCTAATATCCGTCGAAGTTATAAGCGTCAAGCTACCCGACACTTCCTGACCCAGGCCGGGCGTAACTAACACTAAAGGAAGCCGCCGGCCAATCAGAAGATAGCATCTAAACAGGTCAACCAATAGGGAAAGATCAGGTGATCATCTCTCAACCAATCAGAGAGAAACTGAGTCTTGGTGTTAAATCGAAAAGCAAGAATGGTCAGTTACGTTTTCGCTCTCATAGGAACAACACCTACAGTTGTTCAGTGGCTCTCGCCGAGTTCGGAGAGTTGCTCCTTCGCTTCCAACAAGGTAACATCTACTCTAGAGATCTCTCTCTCCGCTCATTTCATCTAAATACCATCATCGCCATGTGATCAACTAATTAATAAGTCAAATCGCTCAACTCTTCTCAAGCTTTCTTCCCTCCAACCCAGTTGCCTTTTATTTTCAAACTCAATCATGTGTCCTGATTATTCCTAACTTAACCAAACTATGAGATTAATAACGGGAAACATGAGACCTACCCCTATAGACTGGCTCCCATATCTCTCTAACATAGCACCTCCTGACCTCAGAAGAAAGAAGTCTACCTCCAACCTTCTCAGTAAAATTAAAGCTAACACTAAGCTTCCAATCAACACTGTTCTCGAAATTCCTCCCCCAACTCGACTAATATCAAGGAATCCTGCATGGGTGGCCGATGAAAATGTAGATCTTAAAGAAGAGTGGAGAAACCGATGGAGCAATCTTGCCATCGCCAACAAAGACCTGGTGGAGGATCCTAACACCAAACCTCCCGGCTACAACCTACCTAGGAGGACCTGGTCAACCCTCAATAGAATCAGGACCTCTACTGGTAGATGCAACTACCTACTAAATAAGTGGAACATGAGTCCAGACCAGAACTGCGACTGTGGACAAATACAAACAATGCACCATATCCTAAGGGACTGTCCTCGAAGATTCTTCCAGGGAACACTTGGGGATATCCACCGGTGCACAGAGGAGGCCCTGGAGTGGATTCGTCACCTCGACATTCCACTCTAGAGAAACTTGCCAACATTGTTGTATTGTGCTGTAAAAAACAATATCATACGCAATATATATATTCCTAACTGTATGCTGCAACTTCCACTCAAACGGCTGCGCTTCAACCCAATCTCACCATTCGCATCCAACAACAAGAAACCCCGCAACGATATTGCCACAGAACGGTTAAGTCGACAGAATTCTACAACAGTGTAATACAACAAATATTGCAGTGTAATAACAATTGCATCATATATTACACAGAGTCGACAGGATAAAGATTATGGAGCTTAATCAGGATCAAAATGGAAATTAGCCCAGACACCAGCAAATCAAACGGCAATGACAAAACCAGCGGAAAAGAAGCGGACAAGAAGAGAGGCGACCAGGCGCCTTCTAGCGGCCATCATATGGCAAATGACCGTGGCCCTCCGACGTGTCAACGCCCCACAAAGTGAGACGGAATTCCGGAGCGCCATTCCCCGGGGAGGACGACGGACACAACCCCCGCCAACCCCAGGCGAGTGTCACCAAGGCCGGACACCGACCACCGAGAAGTCATCCACCGCCATGCCGTACACAGTCCCCGAAACCAATCCGCGCGACCCGGGACAACCCAAACGATCCCAAAATGATCTTCCAGTACCGGACTTCACTTCAATTTCGCGGACGGTGCGAGCAGTCCCGAGCCAAGCCAACCATCCCAAACCAAGACGTTCCAGAGGAGACCTGTTGAACTGAGGTAGGCACCCACCCTATGGCGTCAAGAAATTGACTTTGGACTCATAGCTAATCCTACCTACCCCTTTTAACCATATCTAACCTTTGTACTCAATGAATGCACGCACGGGCTAGGCCAAACCTGTCCGAAAGGACTCGCAATACAATCAAATTTGTCACACAGGACAACCCTTGCCTGCATTCATTGACCCCACTACCATGTTTATCACTCAACCCAATTACCAGTACTATATGCCCTCAAATACAAGCCACAACGGCTTTAACCATCACCATGTCCAAAAAAACGTGTCAGTACAGCTCACACACTTACCACACAAAATCCATGCATGACCATACGTCGCTACGCCATAAAAATGTACCTCACAACAATCCCACAAACATATTTAGCAACAATCACGACATTCGCAACAACAATACACCGACAACAGCCATCCAAAGGGCGGTTTTCACGCTAACAAACACGCACAACCCGCCCAACAAGCGCGACACTCGCGCCAAAAGACGACAATCACCAACAAACGCATGCACCGTCGTTAGTAACAATCATCTCGTCTACCCAAAACACTAAGAAAATGTTCACCTTAAAAGGTACCATATACACTAACAATAGAAATTTCGATATATGACTTTAATAAATTGTTGTTCATAGTGAGAATAGGTTAAAATTTTGTACAAATAAGGACTTCGCGTGACACCTTTTCATTCACAATTTTTTTTTTCTCTCTCTCGATTCGTGTCACAGGTCACCCCACAAACCTTTTCACTTCAGGCCACAGACGCCTTTCAACACGCCTGTGACACGTCTCCACTCAAAGCGTGTTCACGTCGTAAGCCTCATTTTCACTCAATTCCACCCTAATGCCACTGAATAGCATTTTTTACTAAAGTCACAACGACCATTCAATTTAATAAATGGATACAACGTCCGGGTTTTCAAAATACAAATAATGCCGAACTTACACCAACTTATCTCTTCACAATGTATTGGCAGACCATAACACATGACACAAGACATCGTCAAACAAGTAAAACCCACAAACAAAACAAAATTTCGTACACCAAACATATCACACACGCAACGCAACCAATGCCGAAAGTAAAAGATTCAATTATAAAAAAACAATTAGGCGGACAGGAAACGTAGTTCCCCCACTCCATGACTCCAATTACGTGCAAATAGTGGGTGGATAAGTTTAGACCGGACCTCGCGTCCCCGACACGTCCCGCTTCCGGCATCTCATTACAAGGCCCCGCTCATCCAAATTAGGTCACCGCTCTCCCCAGCCACAGATTCCTCTATGCCACCGATTTTGATTCCAGTTCGAGTCTACATATCGATTTTTAACACCCAATTACACATCCACGAGACAACACATAGAACTAGCTCACACATTTCTTACACAACAGACTTCTAACATTTTTTCACAACACACACACAAAGACAAAAATTACACATAAAGGTTATATAGATTTCCATGTCTCCTGTACACACAGCATAAACGCACTTGAGGGCTAGAATCACGTTTTTCACCTAAGTGTCGCTACAGATGAGACAAAACATTTATAGGGCAAAATGGAGCAACCAATACATGTAGATCAGGGCATGTAGATACCAAAGGGTTCCAACCAATACACCTTATTTTTCATATCAATCATTTTCATTATTTTCTCTCAATTAAAAATGTAAATATTTAATCAATTTATCAATTTATTCAACTTAACATCACTTTTAATCATTAATTATCATGTATTTACCACTTAGTTATGTTATCATAGTTTCCAATCAACAAAAACTCATTGGTTTTCTTTCAAAATTGGATA